AAACTTAACATTAACAAGTCACCGGGACCAGATGGCATTCACCCAAGAGTTCTGAAAGAACTCAAATGTGAAGTTGCGGAACTATTAACTAGGGTTTATAACCTGTCCTTTAAATCGGCTTCTGTACCCAATGACTGGAAGATAGCTAATGTAACGCCAATATTTAAAAAGGGCTCTAGAGGTGATCCCGGCAATTACAGACCGGTAAGTCTAACGTCAGTACTGGGCAAATTAGTTGAAACAATAGTATAGAATAAAATTGTCAGATACATAGAACATAACTTGTTGGGCAAAAGTCAGCATGGTTTCTGTAAAGGGAAATCATGTCTTACTAATCTATTAGAGTTCTTTGAAGGGGTCAACAAACATGTGGACAAGGGGGATCCGGTGGACATAGTGTACTTAGATTTTCAGAAAGCCTTTGACAAGGTCCCTCACAAAAGGCGCTTAAATAAATTAAGTTGTCATGGGATAAAAGGGAAGGTCCTTTCATGGATTGCAAACTGGTTAAAAGACAGGGAACAAAGGGTAGGAATAAATGGTAAATGTTCAGAATGGAGAGGGGTAACTAATGGTGTTCCCCAAGGGTCAGTCCTAGGACCAATCCTATTCAACTTATTCATAAATGATCTGGAGAAAGGGGTAAAAAGTGAGGTTGCAAAGTTTGCAGATGATACTAAACTGCTCAAGATAGTTAAGACCAAAGCTGACTGTGAAGAACTTCAAAAAGATCTCACAAAACTAAGTGATTGGGCAACAAAATGGCAAATGAAATTTAATGTGGATAAATGTAAAGTAATGCATATTGGAAAAAATAACCCCAACTATACATACAATGTGATGGGGGCTAATTTAGCTACAACGAATCAAGAAAGAGATCTTGGAGTCATCATGGATAGTTCTCTGAAGACATCCACGCAATGTGCAGCGGCAGTCAAAAAAGCAAACAGGATGTTAGGAATCATTAAAAAAGGGATAGAGAATAAGATGGAGAATATCTTATTGCCCTTATATAAATCACATCTTGAATACTGGGTACAGATGTGGTCTCATCTCATCTCAAAAAAGATATACTGGCATTAGAAAAGGTTCAGAGAAGGGCAACTAAAATGATTAGGGGTTTGGAACGGGTCCCATAGGAGGAGAGATTAAAGAGGGTAGGAGTTTTCAGCTTGGAAAAGAGGAGACTAAGGGGGAATATGATAGAGGTATATAAAATCATGAGTGGTGTGGAGAAAGTGAATAAGGAAAAGTTATTTACTTGTTCCCATAATATAAGAACTAGGGGCCACCAAATGAAATTAATGGGCAGCAGGTTTAAAACAAACAAAAGGAAGTTCTTCTTCACACAGCGCACAGTCAACCTATGGAACTCCTTGCCTGAGGAGGTTGTGAAGGCTAGGACTATAACAGGGTTTAAAAGAGAACTAGATAAATTCATGGAGGTTAAGTCCATTAATGGCTATTATCCAGGATGGGTAAGGAATGGTGTCCCTAGCCTCTGTTTGTCAGAGGGGGGAGATGGATGGCAGGAGAGAGATCACTTGATCATTACCTGTTAGGTCCATTCCCTCTGGGGCACCTGGCATTGGTCACTGTCAGTAGACAGGATACTGGGCTGGATGGACCTTTGGTCTGACGCAATATGACCATTCTTATGTTCTTATGTCAAAGCACAATAAGTCGGATTTGGTCAAATGAAATAAAAGCAAAATGCATTCTAAGCTGACTTTAACCCTTTCAGTGCCCTTACAAACTTAGATGCTTCTCACCACAGGCTGGCTGGTTGCCCTTCAGCCAGGCTCTCCCCTTTGATCAGCACTTCAGTCGCTTGGTGGGGGTGTCTGTAGATGTAGGTGGAAGAGAGAGAGAGCCTGGCAAATGTCTCTCCCTTTTATCATGTTCTTTCTTCCCTCTTGGCTTTGCCCCCCCCCCTTCAGAGTCAGGTGAGCATTACCTCATCGCAGTCTCTGACTGACCAAAGGAAGAGGGGTGACTTATTCAAGAGTCCAATAGATCCTTTGTTGCTGCCTAGGCCAGCATCATTTGTTCCTGTGAGGCTGGGCTGGGTTTGTCCCATACATGCCCTGATGAGGTGTGAGCTGCCCCCCTCTGTTCCTGGAGAGTTTTGCCTGGGCTTGTTTAAAGCCATGAGGACACGTTTTCAGCCTCATAACTATATACATGAAATTACAACCGATAACATCACTAAAACAACAATGCTCAGTGCATCATGAGCCTTCCGGAGACACCCGACACGACAAACTTTGCATTGGATACCACACAATCATTGTACAAGGATGAACATGGGGGTGCTGGGTGTTCCCCCGAGGTACAGAGCGTCACATACCCCTCCATCCTGCACGGAGAACAAGGGGATTTGCAACGAGCGCTAGGGAGCCGGGGCTGCTTTTCACACCCTCTCTCAAACAGGACCCAGAGCGCCCTCCAGCACTGGGTGGGGGCATTCATTTGCTGCCGGCCCAGAGGGCAGAACAGCCCCCATAACCACTGACCCGGCTTCCTGCTGGACCTAGTGTGTGCGCGTGGGTCTCCCCGCGACCAGGGGCAGCCCACGTGCTGGCCCTGCGGGGCGCTCTCCTCCCCTACAGGCTGGTGAGCAGCGAGAGGACAAACCGCAGACGCGGGGAGAGACGTGGGGCTCAGCCCAGGCCCTGGGGTCCGGCCTCCCTTTCCAGAGAACAAAGGTGCCCGGATGGCACGAGGTGCTTCCCCACCCACGGCAGGGAGTATCCGGCAGCACGTTCTGATAACAGGGCAGGAGGGTCTCTCCAGGGGTGGCTCCATGCCCGGCAGGAGCAGTGGCTGGTGGTGGCACAGTGGCTTTCGGGGCTCAGACTGGGACCCCAGCAGGCTCCTGAAGCACAGAGCGGGTTTGCCAGGCATCCCCAGGGCTCTCAGCATGCACAGGGGCTGGAGGAGTCGGCCTCCTGCAGCGACACGGTGAGCCTGCTGCTCCCAGCGTCACTCTTGAGGACGAGCAGCTGCACCACCTCCTGCACGCACCTGTCCACGTTCTCTCCTGCAGGGGCGAGACCGGCAGCGGCTCGGCAGCGGGTGGCAGCACCAGGAGTCCCCCGCGGGGGAAAAGAACAGGACCTGCTACTTCCGGAGTGTGTGTGTGTGTGTGTGAAGGGAGGGCTCTGCGTGTGTTTGTAACGGGGGCTCAGTGCACATGCACGTGTCTCTAGGGCTGTGCGTGAGAATGAAGGCTCTATACGTGAGTGTGTACACGAGGGCAGGGTGTGCACAGGGACTGTGGGTGGGGAAAAGGGCCCGTGTGTGTCTGAGGGCCATACATGGGCACCCGCACCCAAACTCCCTCCCGGAGCCCGCACCCTTCACCTCCTCCGGTACCTCAACCCCCTGCCCCTGCCCTTAGCCCCCTCCCACACCCAAACTCCCTCCCGGAGCCCGCATCCCCTCCAGCACCACAACCCCGTGTTCCTGCCCTGAGCCCCCTCCCGCACCCCAACCCCCTACCTCAGCCCAGAGCCCGCACCCTTCACCTCCTCCCCTGCCCCAGCGCTGAGCCCCCTCCCGGAGCCCACAGCCCTCCCCCAGCCCCAAGCCCCCTCCCACACCTTGAACTTCTCATTTCCAGCCCCACCCCAGAGCCTGCACCCCCAGCCAAAGCTCTCACCCCCTCCTGCACCCCAACCTCCTGCCTCAGCCCAATGAAAATGAGCGAGTGAGCGACAGAGGAAGGGGGAATGGAGTGAGTGGGGGCAGGGCCTCCAGGAAGGGGCGGGGCAAGGGTGTTCGGTTTTCTGCGATTAGAAAGTTGGCAACCCGAGGGCAGCGGCTCTTGTCTGACAGCCCCTCAGCAGCGGGGGAGGAATCTCAGCACAGCACCGACTGCAGGCACTCACGTCCCGCTCCCCAAAGGTACTAACTCCCACTGAAATCACTAGCAGGGGTGGACCTGTCCCCCACCCCGAGGCCAAGGGCTGAACGGGCGAGAGCCTGAATTCGCCGCCCCGTGGGCAGGGTGGGGCACACGGCTGGGGCAGTGAAGCTGCCCGGCTGCCGCATCATGTTTCGGAGAGGGCTCCAGCTCTTCCCAGCCGTGCCGAGCCCATTTGGGGGGCCCAGCTCCCAGGCTGCATGAGGCGAGGGGGGCAGCCCCGCCCTACCTGTCTTGGCCGACACGTTAAACCTGCCGGCTATTCTGTGCTCCACGGAAAACTTCTCAGCCTTGTCCTCCGGCAGGCGCGGCTCCAGGTCAGTCTTGTTCCCCAGCAGGAAAATGGGGGCTGCAGGAGGCAGAGATGGGACGGGGTGATGGGGGAGAGAAAGACGGGAAAACGCAAGGGCTCAGGATGGGGCCAGCACCTGCCGGGTGTGACCGGGGGGCCGGGCTGTATGCAGGGAGGCCCATCCAGGGCCCTGTACCCCAGCACACAGTAGGGAGGCCTGGATACATGGTCAGACCGGCGTTCACGCCCTGAACTCCCCTGTCCCTTGGCACTACCTCAGCATCCGTGCCAACTCCCACGTGTACAGAGCTCAAGAGCCCGGAGGGGCTCAGCGCACGGCTGGACTGGCCCCCCGCCCCCCGACGGGTCAGCCGGGAACAAAACACGGGGGAATGGCAGAGCCCTGGCACTAAAGGTGCCACATCCTGAAGCAGTGCTGCCAGGCTGCGGTGCCGGGGGCCCCTGTTCCTACTCACTCTGATGGGGCCCCCAGAGCCCTCCCCTGCCTTGGCTAATCGCAGCCTTAGTGAACAAGCAGGACATTGGACACTGGAGTGTGGTTTCGACCCTGCAAACCGGCCTGGTGGGACCCCCCCCCAGCCCCTCCCAACCTGCCTTGCCAGCTCCAACGCTGGGCACCCATGTTTCCCACTGTGCTTTCTTCCCCGCTGCCCAGTCAGCAGGGAATGCCTGGCCTGAACACCTCGGTCAGGCCACTCCCCCTTTCCCCTCCAGATCCCGCCCCTGCCACGACACCTGCCACAGGGAGAGCCACGGGACCTAGCGCCGAACAGCTCTGTGGGACGCCCCTCCCTGGCGGGGGCCCCTGTGGTCCCTGTCAGCTCTTTGGGGCAGGACATGTCTCGGTACGTGTCTGCACAGCACCCAGCACCCTGGGGCCCGGCCCTGAATGGGGCCTGTGGGTGCCATGGCCAGCAGCCTGTGAGCCCCGGGCGATTCTGCCTCAAGGTGCCCGCTTGGACAAGAGCTGAGGTGAGACGAGACGGCCTCTCTGGAAGGGCTTCTCCTGCCTGGCCTGCCCCCGTGGCTTCAGCTCCCCACCGGTGCGCAGCACAGCTGTGTGTGGGGAGCCCAGGGCTGGGATAGCACAGGCATAGGCACTGACTCCGGGGGTGCTCTGGGGCTGGAGCACCCATGGAAAAAAAAATAGTGGGTGCTTAGCACCCACCAGCCACCCGCTGATCAGCAGGCGGGAGGCGCTGGGGGGAGGGGGCGGAGCAGGGGCGGGAAGAGGTGAAGCAAGCGTGGGGCCTTGGGGAAGGGGTGGAGTGGGGGCGGGGCCTCAGGGCAGAGCAGGGGTGGAGCACCCTCCCGGAAAAAGTCATCGCCTGTGAACACAGGGCTGAGGTTCAGCAGTGAGGGGCACCGGCAGAGCTGGGGGTGGGACCCTAGGCTGGGAGTGAGGTCACTGGCAGAGCTGGGGAGAGCCCAGGGCTGGGGTAGCAGGGGGCTGCGGGTCAGGACTGAGGGGCACTGGCAGAGCTGGGGGGGAGCCCAGGGGTTGCATAGCAGAGGGCTGCGGGTTGAGACTGAGGGAACTGGCAGAGCTTTAGGGCTTTAGAGCTTTATGTACAATACACGCCATTGTCATGAGCACCAAAAATCAATGCAAAGTGCTACAAATGTGTGTCTGAAGACAGCAGCACTCTGGCCAGGGCATCGCTAATTAACAGACAGACGCAGACACGTGCACGCGCACACACACGATTTCGGCAGAGCGGCTGGTTTCTCTTTAACCGTTTTCCGGGCTCCCTCTGTCTCCAGCCACTTTGAAAATCTGCCAGGGAACCTCCTGAGAGAGATGGCCTGGAGCCCAGGGCTTAACGAGCCGCTGCCCTAATGAGCGTGACTGGAGCCCAGCCTGGGAAAGAGCTGGGTGGCACAGGCTGGACGCCAGCCCTGAGGGTGGCAGGCAGTGAGGCCCAGCCCCTGGTACTTGTGCTCAGGCCTATGGGATGGGCGCTCCCTCCAGGAGAGGGCAGCTATGATGGGGGGGGCTCCCCGAGGGGCTCAGCTGCTTGATCCCTCCCCTTGGGGCGCAGGGGTACTTGTACAGTACTGGGGAGAGCAGTGGCTGGCGTGAGGCGGGTCCATGGGGTGGCTCCACCAGGGGGCAGGACGGGACGGGAGGCAGCTGCCTGGTCCCCCCAGGGTAAGGGCAGCCCAGCCGTGGGATCTGAGCCAGCTGTATTCGCACAGCTCCCCCCAGGTGGGTGAATAGCTGGCGCGGATGGGCGCTGGGAACCGCCCGCCGTGGCAGGTCAGGGGGAACCCACTGTCTGGGAGGGAGCAGAGTCGGGAGCAGTGCAGTGGAGGATATTGGGAACTTGGCCCTCCCTGCCCCCGCATTGCGGGAGTTGCCCAGTCCCCCCTACCGTCCGGGCAGTACTGCCGGGCCACGTAGACCCAGTGCGGGAGGCTGTCGAAGGAGAGCTGGCTCTGGGCGCTGTACAGCAGCAGCACGGCGTCCGTGTCCCGGTAGTAGCAGCTGCTCAGGGAGAGGAACCTTTCTTCACCGGCCGTGTCCCACAGGGAGATCTGCGCACAGCAGAGAGCACGGGGTGAAGCCTTGGCCCCAGGGCCTGGAGCAAGGCACTGGCAGCCTGTGGAACTCACTGCCACATGAGCTTGGCTGGACAAATAAGGCGGCTGCAGTCTTTAAGCCGGCTGGGTTAGATGGTAACGGTCTCAGGCTGAAGGCCTGGTACCGTGGGTGTGTCAGGGACGTGTCCCGCTTCGCCCCACAGACAGCACTGCCCAGTCGGCTGGTTTCATCTCCCTCAGGACGCAGGCAGGATACCAGGCGAGAAGGGCCCAGAGCCCCGTGTGCTGTGGTGACTGGAGCGAGAGTCCAGGGGGGAACTCAGGAAAACCAGCTCATTTGCGGAGCATCGTGATTCAACTCCAGGCCCTCAGCCAGCCCTGCCCCCCACCCCCCACCAAGGCTCTCAGCCAACACAAGCCCAGCCCTGAGCCGCTACCTGAGGGTGGGATGCTGTCGCCTAGCAACTCCTGACAGCTGATTAACCCTTTGGGTCGTCGCTCCCCAGAGAGGGACAGTCTGGGTGCCCGTGGCAGGGCTTGGCTACCACGGAGTCTCACTGGAGTGGCCCAGACACACCAGGCCCCGGGGGGAGGGCGAGGGACAGGCCCGCAGCCACATACCTGCGCCGAGCCGGGAGCCTGGGGGTGGCTGAGCTGCACGGTCTTCTTGCAGATGGCCAGGTGCTCGTTGGGGGCGTGGGGCCCCGGCAGGAAGCGCCCCGCCCGGATGCGGTGGAACAGGGTGGTCTTCCCCACCCCAAAGTCCCCCAGCAGGATGAGCTTGAACATCAGGCCAGGCGGAGGCACGGTCGCCATCACAGTGCGGGGGCCGGCTCCCTCCAGCAGCCGCGGGTGGTAAGTGCCCAGGCCTGGCCCATGGGCTCCATTCCTCGGCAGGACCCGTCCCACTGGGCCACCGGGGAGCACGGGCCGGCAGACCTAGCAGGGCTGCAGCGGGAGGGAAGGAGAAAGCAGGGAATGGAGCATGTTTCCCCGGCTGGGGCCCAGGCTGCTGGCTGCAGATCCCAGCCTGGGAGACAGGGCTGGGAAAACCCCGCCCCACCCCCACTGCCGGCTCCAGCCCCGGGGGACCCCATCCCAGGGAGCCCGAGCGGATTGCACCCATGGACAGTGAAAGCCTCTAGCTCTCCTCGGGGCAGAAACAGGTTCCTAGCACCCTCCCAGCACCCCTCAGCCCTACCCTGGCGGGACTCTGCCCCTTGGGAAGGCATCACTAGCGCACGGAGACGGTGCGGTGTGAAATTCAGCACCTCCAGCGACTCAGGCCCCCTAGCACTGCTCTGGGGCCAGCACCGATTGCTGGGGAGAGTACCCCGTTAACCCCCCTGTTCCCTGCAGCCCGGTGCCCTGTGTCCCACACTCAGCCCCTGGGCTCTAACTCTTGCTGCCTCGGTGCCCCGGGCGTGCCGTGGGGGTGGCGCACGCCGTCAGGGGGAGAGGGCCCAGCAGGCGTGGGCGCGGCCCCTCCTGGCGCAGCTCTCGAATACAGGGACTGAGCTGGGATGTTATGGGGCCCCCTCGGGGCTCCAGCAGAGGCTGGTACCCCCCCAGCCAGAGTGTTTGCTTTCTGCATCGGGGGAGGGGCGAGGGGCTGGGCAGCTGACGGAGCGGAGCGGGGCGGGGGGCGGCTTGGCAGAGCTAAGCGGGGCGTCCTCTACCTTGGCCAGGATCTTGCTGGGCCCACAAGGGAGCTTGCCAGCTGCTTCCTGGTGTGTTGGAGAAGAGCCGGGGGAGGAGCCAGTGCACCTGGCACACCCCTCCCAGCGGGGCAATCCCATGCGGTCACAGTGCAACAAACAAGGAGGGTAGGGCCCCCTTCTCCGTACAGCCTCCACAGGCAGAAAGCCCTGGTTCCGCCTCCCAGCCCTGACACCCGCTCCCCAGCCTGGGGCAGGGCCCAACCCTGCTCCGTGCCTCAGTTTCCCCCATCCCACCCGCCAGGGGCTGTATGGGTTAATGTCTGTCCAGGAAAGAGCTCCCAGTCTCGCAGAGTGGAGAGCTACCCTCCCCCGTGACACCGGCTTGTCTGTCCGGTTGGCCCGGGTGGGGGATGAAGGTGACCAGCCGCCCCCGCCCCCTGGGTCCCCCTGCTGATCAGGGAGCTGTCCGGGCTGCCAGGGAACTGCCTGCGCACACCCATCCCCCTTGCTCTGCTCTGCTCGGCTCCTGCCTTCACCCATTTGCTCCTTGCCGGTTCAGTGCCCCTGGAGCAGGGAACTGAGTGCGGCCGGCGTTCATAAACCAGAGGGGCCCCTGGAAGGAGGGAGCTCAGGCTCCGTTCCAGGCTTGGCACCTCTGCCAGTGAGGGGGCTCATCACAGTGGCAGATGCAGCAGGGACAAGCCCCCCCTCTCCCCCGACTCACTCCACCCTGGCCGGTGAGATGTTCAGCTGCTCCTGCCCAGGTGTGAACCCTGGCCTAGATGGAAGGCCTGCGTCACCCAGCCGCCCCGTTCTAACAGCAGCCAGACGGAGCGCAGGGCGTTCCCAGAGCCAGCGGTGCAGAGAAGGCAGCATGGCCTCCCCGCGACCATCCCGCTCTCGGTGTCCCCCAGGCGCTCAGCCAGCTATTGGAGGGAGGGTAACCAAACACCGGCTGCTGGGCGTGGCCTTTTCATAGGCACGGCGCTGCAGCCAGGTCTGCCAGCACGCCCCGAGCGTGCCCGGTGCCTGGGCTTAGGACGGGAGTTGCAAGGGACTTTCTGCTGACGGTGCTTCCCCAGCTCCTGCGGCTGCTCCCTCCCGCACTTGGCCGCACTCCTTCCTCTCGTGTGTTACCAGGGCTGCTGTGCACAGCTGCTCCCCAGCAGAACGGGCAGACATGCACGTAGCCTCCTCGCTCCTGCAAGCTGCACACGACAGTGACAGCAGAAATTGTACCCCACGTGGTTCTGCGCTTTTAACTCCTTCGGCACAAATCAACAATAGCAGATGGTTCCTTACCTGTCTGGTAACTGCTGTTCTTCGAGCTGTGGCTGCAGGCACGTCTCCCACTCAGGAGTGCGCCCGCCCCGCACCAAAGCCGGAGAAATCCACCTAGCAGCACGCCTAGGCAGCGCTCACGCCCTTTGCCTCACAGCCCCTCCCCGGGCTCTAGAAGGGCAGAGCGGCCGCGACCCCTTGGGTCCTTTGCACCAAACCCCAGGCTGGAGCCTCTGATGCAAGGTGGGGCCTGGAATACGTGTCTGCAGCCACGTCTCAAAGAACGGCTCCAACACAGGTGAGTAACAGTCTTTTCTTCTTCGAGAGGTTGCAGACGTGTCTTCCCGGGGCTCGGAGTCGATTGACACAGAGACGGCAGAACTGCCTCCCCAAAGTGTGCATCAGCCCTAGAAGCCATGGTGACAGCGCAGCGGCTAGCAAAGGTGTGCACTGAGGGCCAGACGCAGCCCTGCAGCCATCCACTGGGGGAAACATCTCTAAGAAACGCTGTTGATGTTGCTTGAGTGCTCGTCGAATGAGGCCGTAAGGACTTTGGGGGCGAAATCTGAGCTGCTCCAGAAGCTGCAGTAATTCACGTCCTTATCTACTTAGCGGAGACCGATGGTCCTTTCATCCGCTCAGCTCAGTGTAAGATACAAAGAGGCGAGGCGATGAATGAAAGGGGTTAGTACTTTTCAGATAAAATGCCGAGCACCTTCCCACATCTAAGGTCTGAAGGCGTCGTTCTTCTACGCCCAAGTGGGGTTTGGGAAAAACATACAGGTAAGTAAATAACCTCATTAAGGTGAAACGGAGAGATCACTTTTGACAGAAATGTTGGCTGTGGTCTTGAAGCTACCTTGCCTTTGAAGAAGTGGGTATATGGGGGATCTGCCGCCATGAAGGCTTCCCTGACTAGTCTAGCAACCAGGAAGGCCATCTCCTGGGAGCGGAGAGCCGATGAGCACGTTGCTATTGACTCAAACAGACTCCTCAGTGGCACGAGCACTATATTAAGGTCCCACAACGGCACCATTTTCTTCGCTGGTGGAAAACGATGGACAATGCCTTTCAGAAACCTCCCTACCATAGGATCTGAAAATAGCGACTTTCCCCAAAGAGGAGGGTAGAAAGCTGAAATGAACTTTCGAAGAGCTAAGAGCCAGGCCCAAAGATTTCAACTGCAACGAATAGTCCAGAGCATTCTGAGTCCAAACTGACATAGGATGAATTCCCCCTGAGGTCCCCCAAATCGAAAACTGCTTCCACTTAGACAAACAGGTGGAGGGGCTGTGTTCCAATTTATGGGTCCCTTTTCTCGGTGGAGCCCTCCTAGAGGCTGCCTCCGAGTTCTGCCGCGGAACATCAGTGCGATGAGGCTCAGACGACAGCTGAGGAGCTGGTGCCATCTCCAGTGCTGATGTAGGCCTCATGGCTTGCTTGCATCTCAAGTGCCTTGCTAACTGCATCCTTGTCCTGAAGGACTTACAGATGGAGCACCTGTCCTTACCGTGTCCCTCTCCCAGGCACAATAAACACCGCGTGTGGGGCTCACTATTTGGAATAGTCCCTCATGTGATGGGCAATGTTTAAATCCCGGTGAAGACATTCCACCAGGAAACTACAGCTAACTAACTAACCCACCCACCTAAGGTACTAACTACTAAACAACTAACTATGAACACGAAGCTCTCAACAACTGAGAGATAAAAGGGCAGTGCCCCCAGCTGTGGGTGATGAGAAGGAACTGAGTAGGGTCAGGGCAACGCTGCCCTTATACAGCCAGGGGAGAGGCTAGGAGTCAAGGGGCGCGAGCACTACCCCTCTGGGTACTGCTAGGCGAATTGCTCCGGCTTTGGTGCACTGGGCGTGCACACAGGAACGTCTGTAAGCACTCGAAGAACAACAAAGCCAGCCAGAGCCTGTGGGGCTCCTGGGATCCTGTCACTTCTAGGGCATCTAACTCCTACGGAAGGGCCGCACTACGTAGGGGCTCATGCCCTGATACAGAAGGCCTGTCACCAGGGTAACGATTTATGCAGCTAGACAAGGTCAGCAGAGTGCGCTGTAAGTCAGGAGTTCCACAGGCAGAGCTGCACGGGGGGGTGCCAAGGGGTGGTGCAGAATTTGCCTGACTCCTTTAATTTTATTGAGAGAAAAACCCAAGAGCTGTGTTGATGTTTTAACCTCCTTCATGAGGAAAGACAGAAAAGTTCAACCCTTGTTATGGAAGGGTCTAACTGCACAGCGAGCACCCCAGAGACTGGGAAAAGCCATGCCAGGGTACGAGTGAGACGCCGCTAAACCAGCAGCAGCTACAACTATCGATACCCAAACGGTTTGGGCCCAGTCAGAGCATTAATGCAGGTAAGAAACTCAAATATGCTTGGGGGGGTTCCCCCCAGCTGCTCTTCCACACTCTGAATGGACAGCCTCTGCACACAGAGGCCAAGCTGGAGAGCTCAATGTTGCCCTAAGTATGGGTGGGGGTGCAGCGGGGGGAGAGCTTTCCCAGTGTTAAGAGGGACATTCAAGAGGATTTCAGCAGCTTGGTTTGCAACCTTCTCATGGGGTCTCCAATGAGGACTTGGCTTTGCCAAGCGTTGGCAGAGAAACAAGTGAACACAGCCCAGCGACCAGCCCAGCTTCCTTATGAGGGTGCACTCTTGGGTTACGCTCATGGTGTGTCTCTAACCAGAGAGCCACAGCCATGCAGCGCTCCCTCCAGCAATCTCCCAGGCAGAGAGACAGCCAGCGTGCTCGTGCAACTCCACGAGGACACATGCACAGGGTGGGAAACGCTTTATTTCAGTTGGTCTCACTTTTTTATTTTCCCTTTCAAGTGAGGAAATTAACTGTAAACAACAGCTGGTGCTCAAGGCTTTACAGGCCCAAGAGTCAGGACACTCAAGGGTGCAGTTCCCAAGGCAATCAGAACTATAGGACAGCAAGTTATCATGGGACAGCCAAGATACTACAGGCCACTGGTAGCACTTACAGCACTCGGACGTGAAAAGTTCCAAGTACTCAATAATAACATTATCCTCACAGAGGGGCTGAGTTAAACTGGGGCGGGGAAACAATAGGAGTCTCCTGAATTTAATACCTGTAAATTCGCAAGAGTCTGTTAATGCCTGGAATGAAATTAAGCAAAGGTAAATGTAGACGGGTCGGCACGAACAATACCCTGAGCTCCATCTGCTAAGGGATGGGCTCCCAAGGGAAGTGCTGGGGACATGGGAGGAGGAGGGACCAGGCACTCTCACAGTCTGCAATGGTCTGCTGGGAAACGGACTGCCAGGTCCTTTCTGTCACCAGTTCCCTTGAGCCTCCGATGGAATAGCCAGCCTCTTCCCTGGGCGGTCTGTAACTCCTCCTGGAAGGCTGGGGGTATTGAACCAGCCGGCTTCCAAAAGGGCTCCAGAGTCACCCTGCCTCTTCTCCCCACCCCAGAGACCAAAGGAGAAATTCGAAGCAGTTTGGAGCAGCAGTTGGTGTATTTCCGCCCTATCAGGGCCCACTCCAGGGAAGAGCAGCAAACGGGACAGCTCCAATCTTTGGTATCCTCCTCTCATCCGGCATCACTCGGTTACCCAAGTCACAAGCTGCTGCAGCGACTTACCTGGAGCCTGAGGGCTGCACCCAGTGCGCTAATGTAGATCAGACAGCAGCCATAA